TTACTAAAAGCTTTCAGGCCAACGCGTGGCCTCCAAAAAAAATTTGGCTGCCCGTTTCTTATTTTACGCGAGCAGGGGGCCGGGTCTACTACCGCCCCTCACAACTTTTTTTTTTTTTTTTTTGACCCCCATTTCTGGAGGTGCGCCGCATGCAGTGCGCGCGCGTCGTGCGGGATGCGCGGTGCGGCGCACGTGCGCAGTGCAGCGCATCGCATCGCGATGCGCCGCAAGTATGGTTTAAAGGGTTTGAACAAGGGGGGCTGCTGAAAAAGGCTGGCCCAATAGATAAGGGGCGTTTCAGGTTGGGATGGGTGATATAGGCAGCTCCATGGGATAGCGAAGCCCCGGACTGAGAAGTTTAATGGCCACAGTGCCGCCAAATTATGATTACCAATCTGTGTGTTGAAAGATGTAGTACCATGATTTACAGGTCGTGTGCCCAAGAAGGGAGGTAGGGAAATGGGAGGTTTGGTGCCTGCATGCACTGGGAACCAGTGATCGGGGATACCACCTGCCTCCGAGGCTGATAGTTAATAGCGGTTTTGGGACTGGGGTATACTACCACCTAATTTTGGCTGTTGCGTAGGCAACCAATCTAGGCTTCTGGGAGTTGTGTAGCTCAATCTCCCTCCTCCCAGCACGGGTCATGCTGCTGCCTGTTGCAACAATCTGATGTCTGTACAAACAGCCAAGTATGATGTTTAGGGACGCTGGACCCGGTTTCCAGCAGGTGCTGCTCCCCACCAATAGATGGAGCCTCCCCGAGTGTGTTAGTGGTGTCTGCTCTTATCAGCACCTCTAGCATCACCTCGGGTTGATTAATTAAAAATAAATAAGTAAATACTAAATAAATAACAATCAGTGTTGGACCCGCCGACGGTCGGCGGCCCTTGACTGGTTGGCTGCCGACCCGCCGACCGATCGGCTGGTCAGCACCTACCGGTCGGGGGTCATCGGCACCCCGCAAAAAAATAAATAAGTAAATAAATAATTTAAAATAAATAAATAAATAAAAATTGGGGGGGGCTCCAGAACCCCTAATAACACCACCAACACTCCCATAGCGGCCCCCAATACCCCCATACACCCCCCCAACACCCATATTACGCCGCCCAATACCCCCTATCACCCCTATACCCCCCCTACAACCCCTCTATACTCCAAGCCCAACCCCCCCATAACCCCCCACATCCCCAAAAGTTTCTCAGGGGATTTGGGCTGTACTCAGCAAGCGCAGTACAGCCCCCAACTCAGATTTGAAAAAAAAATCAGTGGATGGTTGTTTTCTGACTAGTCGGCAGACTGCTGACCGGTTGGCCCTACTGGTCGGCTGCAATACGGTCGGCGTTGCGGTCAGCGGTTGGCAGGGGTGCAACCCTGATAACAATTGAAATAATGGGTACGTAGTACGTACTACGTATAATAAATTATTTTACAGATTGACCACGTCCGGCCCCCCAGTAAAAACAAAAACGGGCCTGAAAAAACCCCAAAACAATGTTGGGGGCTCGGCTCCTCAGTGGGGAAGGGTTCCAGACCACCTTTTTTTTTCCCTTGAAATTTGGTAGATCCGGACCTTCCAAAATGGATGTCTAGAGTCTGGACTGAATCCGGACCGTCTGGACGGCGACGTCCGGATCGTAGCCATGGAAATTTTCATTTATGCTAGCACCGTGCAATCAGACTCACTTTCATTCACGCTTTACATGCATGCAAACAGTAACGCAGCAAACTGGCGACATGCGCCCACTTCGTACTCAGAGATATGGCAACCCAGATACGAGTTCACTTCCAATGGCTATGGCGACACAGCGCACATACAACTCTCTGTTCGCATACACTGGATCACCCTGGATATCCCACACGCGATACTCTGTTCACTCTCACACACTCACACACTGAACTCTAACTACAGCTACGGCGGCTATGGCTGCCGCTACCCTATCGCTATGGCTAAGCTTCGTCTCTCTGCCCACTTTGTCTTCGGGCTCACTGCAGACCTCCTTGCACTTGTCGCTTGTGGCAGCGCTTCCGCATGGCTCACACAGGAATGAATGTATGACTGGGCGCTGCCTCTTGATTTATACTTCTGCAGCTCGTTGGTCTGGCCCTTTCCCATGCCCAAAGTGCACACAGTCCCATGCGGTACTTGCTTGACTGGACCAGGACTGCCTAGGACTGGGACTGCTGACTCAGCACGGGCAGACTCCACCAATTGCCTCACCACTTGCCCACTTGCCTTAGCCTAAACGTGGGCAACTTCGAAAGGCCACTACTGGGACCTTCCGGAAGGCCGTAGACGTGGCCTTCCGATACTGTAGCAGCTACGACCTTGACCTTTCTGGACTGTAGCAGCTACGACCTTGACCTTTCAAGAAAGCTACAGCTACGACTTCTAGACCTGACTGTGATTCCAACTCGACAGGTCTACAGATCGAACCCCTGCTACCTATGGACCCTACGAGAACCTACCAACTGTTACAAATACACAGGTCACAGGTTCAACCCTAGGGGTCGACACAGATACTGTACACAGGTAAGGTGGGAACTAGGGATCGAGCCCTGGGATCTGCATCTGCCACTGCGAACTGGTGAATACCGTTTCACTCCCGCCGGCCTAAATTCGAGGTCCTCCGAGAATAACTCAGTCCAAGGCAGGACCTTTTCCTTTCCTATCTCTCTCATAGGCTCTAACTATATCGGGAGCTGTCTCTATAAGTTCTGTTCTTGTAAACCAGCGGTCGTCTTCCGGCTCCTGATAAGCAAACCGGACCTTATACTGTTTCTATGGACGACCTCTACCTCCCGTTCTGAACACATCTTCACCTACAATGCCGTCAATGTCATATCTTTCGTTCATGTCTGGAGGGATCATGGACCGTCTAGATGGTAACTGTTGACTTGTGACACACGGCAACAACTTTGATGCGTGAAACACAGGGTAGGTGTGGAGGTGTGCTGGTATCTCTACTGTGTAGGATGGTCCATCCTCTCCGCCCTTGACTTCTAGAACTGGCCACGGTCCTCTGTACGCGGGCAGTAACTTTTGTGAGATGTTCTCCTCAGGTGCAAACTCTTTAGACTTGACCCAGACCAGGTCGCCTACCTGAAACTGCGATGGGCGACGATGCTTATTAGCTTGTTCTATCATTCGGTGCTGGGCCTTCCTGAGGTTCTCAACAACAATGGCTATCTCTTTCTCATGCTGTATGGCAAACTCCCTGTTACCGGGCGGTAGCCTGTGAATCTGATCCCGGTCCAGTTCCTTAAACGGTCTACGCGGTCTAAAGGACTTGTGCAACTCGTTGGGAGTGCGACAGGTGGACAAATGCACGTTGTTATTGTATGCACTGGCTACCTTGGGTAACATCTCGTCCCAGTTAGTCTGATCTGGTCTAATGTACATGCGCAGAACTTGCTGCAGGATCTTGTTCATCTGCTCAGTCTGACCGTTAGTCTCTGGATGGCGGCCAGACGACATCAGCAACTTTGACCCATAGACTCTCATAAGTTCCTACCAGTTCTGGCTGGTGAAGCGATTGTCTCTATCGCTAACTATGGACAGCGGGACTCCATGCTCACTAACCCAAAAATCAAAAAACTTCTGAATCACTAGCTCTGTGCGTGCCTCTGCAGGCAAAGGAACAAAAATAGTGTACTTGCTAAATCTATCGACTACGACCATGACTTGGCTCTTGCCGTGCCTACTCTTGACACCAGCATCCATAAAGTCAATGGAGACTGAATCTCCAGGCTGGTCTGGGATAGGCAAGGGTCTGAGAAGACCTAGAGGGGCACGCGTAGTAGTCTTGTTCCTCTGACATACTTTACAACTGCGGACATACTCTATGCAGTCGTTTTTCATTCCTGGCCATGTATACGCGTGCATGAGATTGGCCAAAGTCTTTTGCCAACCGAAGTGTCCCTCTGTATCATGGCATTCCCCTAGGATCAGACTGCGGATCTCTTCACTGTTGGGAACGCATAGGCGGTCTACTACATTAGTCTTCTCGAATAACAAACCCTTTGTAGTGCGGTAATTTGGCTCAGTCTCTGGGGCCTCCCTAACCTTCTTGAGGAGGTCACTATAGATAGGGTCCTGCGCATACGCCTGTCTAACTTTTTCCTGCAGGTCACGCCCTATGTCCAGATAGTGAACTATGGCTCCAAAGTAGTCTGACCTCCTACTCAGAGCATCCGCAACTACATTGTACTTGCCCTTTACTGGCTTGAGCTCAAAGTCGTACTGGTCTATCTCAGCGGCCCACCTAGTCAACTTAGGTGTCATTTTGGCCTGTGTCTTCAACCATCTAAGGGTCTCGTGGTCGGAGTACACCTTGAAGTGCCTCCCAAGCAGGTAATGCTTCCAGTGCTCTAAGGCCTGTCTGAGAGCGTAGAGTTCCCTCTCATACGTAGAGGTAGCAACCTTCTTTGAGGGCATCCTCGCTGACATGAACTCTACGGGTCTGTAGCCATTGCTGTCGTCCTGCTGCAACACGACGCCTATTCCATATTGACTCGCGTCCGTGGTGACGACAAATGGAAAAGATGGATCTGCTACTTTGAGGACAGGGTACTCTATCAATGCGCGCTTCAACTTCTTTAGCGCAGACGTGCAATCTTTATCCCATTGCCAGATTGCCTCTTTCTTGAACAACCTGCGCAAGGGAGCGGCGATAGTAGAGAAGTTCCTCACAAACTTCTTGTAGTAATTAGCTAGGTCCAGAAACGACCACAACTCTGTCAATGTGCGGGGCCTCGGCCAGTCTCTAATTGTCGCTATCTTACTGTCCTCAGGCTTAATGCCATCTCCGTCTAATACGTGGCTCAAGTACAAAACTTGTCTTGGCCCACTCACACTTCTTTGCATTGATCTTGAAGTTAGCTTCTCTTAGCTTCTCCAAGACCTGCCTCAAATGACCCTGGTGCTCCTGGAGGGTCCTACTGAATACTAGGATATCGTCTAGATATATTATGACGAATCTATCTAACCAAGGCCTAAACAGATCAATCATACAACGCTGATACATAGCTGGCGCATTGGTCAGTCCAAAGGGCATCACTATGAACTCATAATGCCCATAACGAGTCCGGAACACAGTCTTGTACTGATCATCAGGATGGACCTCTATCTAATGGTAGTCGGACTTCAAATCTATCTTTGAAAAATACTTACAACCCTGCACCCGATCTAAGAGGTCGTCTATCCTGGGCAGTGGTTCAACATTTTTGACTGTAATCGCATTCAGACCCCTATAGTCTATACACATGCGCAATTCTCCTTCCTTCTAGGGGACAAACAAAACTGGTGCTCCAAAAGGAGACGAACTGGGCCTAATCCAACCCTTCTCGAGGAGCTCGTCCAACTGCTTGCGTAGCTCCTCTAACTCTCTAGGGGCCATCCTGTAGACTGCTCCCTTAGGAGTTCTATTGCCAGGCTCTATCTCTATCCTGTGCTGGATCGGCCGTGGCACTACTCCTGCCGGCGACTCAGCTAAGTCTTTAAACTCTTCCAGCAGCTTGGCACTGGTTGGATCCGTGGAACTATCCCCTTCCTTAGGCTCAGTGACAGGTCTAACATATACTACAAAGACCTGATCCTCTAACTGCTCCTTTTTCACTAATCGCGCGAACGGAGGAGCACTGAGACAGCAATCTGCCAGCGAGTTGTCTACCCCTGACACATGGAACAGACAGGTTGTCTTAACCTCGCCTGACGAACTAGGGAGCCTACACTCATGCTGTCTCAAGTGGAGTGTGGCCCCTGCTGCCTCTCCCCAGACCATGCCTAGGACTATGTCAAACGGAAGGTCATCTTGTACGAGGAGAGTCAGGGAATGGAGAACTTTCTCCACCTTCCCATCTTTCTCTAGGCGGAAATACGCCTGGACTCCCTCTATGTAGTCCTCAACTCGCATCGTGCGGTTGTCTGCGAGGACACTAACTATGGGGTCTTCCAACTTTTGGACTTTTAACCCTAGCCTCAGCTTCTTCAGCGCCCTGCGACTAATATAACTACGGGTTCCCCTGAGTCTATAAGGGCCCCTACTCTACTTCTAAACACCTCTACATCAACTAATACCATCTGCCCTTTACTATCTCTCTTTATTTTGGCCCAGGCAGGCATCCTCTCTTTCAATTCCTCCGCTACGCCTGTGAGGGAAGTGCCTAGAGAGACGCTAACACAAGCCGTCTCTGGACAGCTAACTAGGCACCTGAAACCTTTGTTGAGGGCTCATGTGGTGTGGGAGTTTCCTCTGTGCACGCGCTCGCTTCCCCACATGGCCTAGAAGTAGGGGCCATTACAACCCCTACCGGCGGCTGCCTTTTGACTCCTGGGCAGCCCACCGTGCCTGTCTGTATTTAAGACAATATTTAATGATATGGGCAGGGTCACCGCAGTAAATGCACTGCCCCTGCTCCATCCGTTGCTGCCATACTTTCTGGTCCAGGCCCAGATCCTCCCAAGGCCGGCCCTGTGGCCAGCCTGGGTGCCATCCTCCTCTCCTCTGAGGTGACCCTCCACCTCGTTGCTGTGGGGACCGACTAGGACCTTGACGATTTGGCGGGGGACCTTGACCCCTACCTCCCTCTGGACGACTCTTTGGGCCGCAAACCCCCTATGCGCCCGATCCTCGGCCTCCCGTGGCCTGGCCCCTTTGGCCCTGGCCTCCTCTGCCTTGCGGCCTCCCTGTCCTACGCTATTGTCCTCCTCCTCGAGCCCCCACTCTATCTGACTGTAGGGGACTTCGTCAGTACCACCTTCCTCCAATGTAAGGATCATGTGATCCTTGGCCCTCACCTGGCCTGAGATGGTACGCCCTTTCCACTTTTTGCCCTTGTCTAGGTCCTTGTGCCAGAAAGTGGAAATTGGCATGGACTTAGCTTCAAACAGCACCACTTCTCTACTTAGCGCATCGTACGTCATCGTGGGCTGTTGGCTCTTATCAAAAAAGTGCCCTCGTAAGGGCTCCGGTATGGCACGATAGAAGAGTTGGACCAGTTGGGACTCAGTAACCCCATGGTCCGGGACGGCCACCAGGTCGTCCATGACAGCTTTGAGTGCCCTTGCACTCTTCCACTGCCGTGAGTGGATGGTCTGGAGTTTATCAGAGGCTCTAACGCCTCTTCGCAGATCAGCAAATCGCTCCCTCAGGAGCTTGAAAAATTGAGCGAGGGGGGTGACTTTGGAGTAAGCGACCATGTTGTTTTCACAACCGGCCGCACGCGCGAGGGACCTAGCGAAACTAGCCGCTTCGTCCTTGAGAGCCTGGAAGGCAACGAGGTCCTGATCGTCCTGCACAATCTGCTGTAAATGAACATACGTATTGACACTTGTCTCCCAATTATCGAAGTTTTCGTCAGACTTCCCGCCATAGCCATCTGGGAACTTCAACTTGACTGGTTCCCTGCGGGGTCTAGACTCACTCTCAGCGGTGGCTACTACCTTGGCGCCCTCAATGGCGCCCTCACAGAACTTCCTTACGCCCTCTTTTAATCCTTTCACCTCGGCCCCGACGTGGGTCACCACGTCGGCGTGCAAACTCTCTAAAGCCAGCCCACATGGCCTGCAGGCCCACATCGTGACCCCTGTTGCTTTGACGTTCCTCCAGCTACGCCTCGCTTAGTACCTCCAGGCACCCTAAGATCTTGTCTAACTTCGCGGGTACTTTCGCTTGGGCCTGCACCTCTTGTCTACACCCTCGTACTTTCTCCACCTCTGTGGCCAATCGGGCAACTTCCTCCCTCCTTCTCTTCTTCTCCCTTTTCATGCGCAGCTTCCATTCCGGGGGGTCATCCATCATTTCCAAAGCCCTGGCAAACGCCTCCTTCTCCTCCTGTGGCACATACAGCTACGCCTCCTCATCTTCTCCCAAAGACAAATTTGCCACCCACTCACTGATCTTCTTCTCCATTTTTGCATCTTTCTCTGTCGTTCCACTGCTCTCCCCTCTTTCTTCCCTACGTCTTCTTTCAAGGTGTTCTTCCTCTTCTTCTGTTGCTGCTGCTTCTTCTTCAGCAGCCTTTCTTCTTTCTTCGGCCTGCTGAACCCTCATCATCTCCTCCTCCAACTTTTTCCTTTTCGTCGCCTGCTCCTCTGCGATCACTTTTAACTTCGCTTGCTTCAGGAGCTCTTTGTTTTCCCTATTCTCTCTCACTAGGGCGACCATCTGCTCTTGTTGAGCCGGAGTATAGGGGCTAGTACTCTTCCCACTACGGGTGTCAACCATGGTGATAAGTGTACAACCGGGTCAACGGTTCCAAACCTCTCCACTTAGACTCTAACCCCTGACTGACAAACTTACTGACTCAATCTAAAGACTCACAGAATTCGGACAGGGATCCTGTCAACTCGGGTCTCTAGCCTAGACCTACTCTAAGGCTGTCACTACAGGACCTGTTGCTGATCAGGAGGCACTTAAGGAGATCCCCCGTGACTCCTCAGGAATTGTTTAACGTCGCAGACAAGACGACACGATCAGCAGGTCTTCTCAAAACTTAGACGGCCCGTTGTGCAGCCCACAGCTCAGATTTCGGGCCTACCGTGCCACACCGTCTTTAGCCCTACTCAGTCCGGCAGGGGTTTGGTCAACGAGGCCCTATCCTTCATACACGGAGTCCTATCACCTGGACAGAAGAGACTCGATGCAGAAAGAAGAGACAGACAGACAAGACTCAGGAAGTACCATAGGGTGTGTGCACATCCATAGGGCGAGGGGACAGGCTGAAGGCTTGGCGAGATTATACCGGCTCCAGCTTGGTCAAAATCGTGGTCAACAGCCTTGGTCAACGCTTGGTCAAGGCTCGGTCAACGCTGCAGTCAACCCCGGTCAACTCCTGTCAACCCCGGTCAACACCTCCGGTCAACTCCTGGTCACACCCGGTCAACGCCCCCCGGTCGGCTTTGGCAGCCGGCTTCTCCTTCCTCACCACCCTTCTCCTTCCTTCTCTTCACGTCGCCTCTCTCTTCTTCACCCTGACTGTCTTCTTTCTCTCTCTTTTTTTTTTTTTTTTTTT